GGGATTTGGGTCGTGACATTTAACCATAAATATTAAACCAAAATCTAAGGATTTGAATATACGCTTTCAAATGTTACATAAATAAATTAAGCAAAAGAGGTGATATTTGAATCTGGATGATCTTGTCATCTTCCCAGCTAAATAAAAGCTAATTAGTCAGAGCAATGTTAAGGCAGTGAAATATTTACAGCAAACTAATAGTACCAACCTAGTACCATCAGCATTCGTTTTCTTTCAGAACCCTCCTATCCCCCCAAAAAAATTCCCTTGTTGGTCCTCGAATTCTGGAATTGAGAGTGAAACCTGTCACATACTTAATGGCATAAGCAGAGACCACCGATGATATTCTGGTGTCTGTTAACCTCTTTCCCACCTGAGGCATAAGACATGGCTATTGATCAACTTTTCTTTTTGATTTTCTTATGCGGACAGTCAAGGCATCAAACTGCAAATTCGCACAATTTAGAGCATCTTTCACCCAGAAATCTGTTTTAGGTTCTGAGATAGCTTAGCAGGAATACCTTTCTAAATATGTATTATGCGGAAATTTACGGAGTAAACTGCAAATTCCCATGAATGGAGCATTTCTTCACCCAGAAATCTTATTTAAGGTTTTGAGATAGCTTAGCGGGAATATCTACTCTAAAGATGAATGTGCTATACAAACTTTGCTGGCTTTACCAATAAAGTGGGAGCAAATGCTGCTACTGTATGTCATTTTGACAGTTTAGTGCTACAAACATCTGAGTTGTTTCCTAATGATTATATGTTATGCATATATTGTTTGAGCACGTAACAGAACGTCCCCTTCCCCTGATAAATTGCATTGGATTCTCTTGCATGAATGCTTTCATGTGATTAATGCGTTACTTTTTAAATTACAGGTATAGTCCTTTCCTTATGGCCTGCTACAACCCTGACCGACTATCCCAATCTTGTGCCTACTCCTATTTGGAAATTCTCAATACACTACTAGAATTGGAGACGGATTTGTAGTTTGTTTTCATTGAATAGACTTTGGGACTTCACTGAGAAGACCCAAACATGACAAAAATGTTTATCTGAGATTTTGAGGAGGTTTCAGGTAAGGTTCATCTCATGTCTTAAAAGACCCAATGCAATTTTGTTGCTTTATTGTACATAGAGACTTGGGTCGTTATATTTCATTCGTCTTATCTGTTAAGATTTAAAAGACATGAATAAAGCTTCTACTTTCAGAAGTTCAAAATAGATCACACATCGTATGAACTGCAAAAATATCTGGTATGAAACTCAATCTCTTATGTTAGAGTCATGATCAATACACTTGTTAGTTCTCACATATTTGTGTATCGGCCTCTATTATTTGAGCTATGATAAACAATTATTCCAAGTAAAAGTGCATTAGATTAGATTAGAACTCTTGATATTACATTTTCTGAAATGAAGGTAATAAAAAAAAGGAGGGCAAAATTAATACTTCAACCAACCCTGGTTAATCTTCTTAAGGGAGATCTACAATTCCAGATTAAAGTATTGAATGCTGGTTTAGATAGAGTAGTACTTTTTTAGCAACCATTGAATTTAGAATTAGATAAAAAAGAAAGAAAGAATAGAATTAGGAATATTCTACTTTAGTATAGACCCTTATATGAGTATGTGATGCATACCGACCTATCTTTCAAAGATATTCTTTATTCAAGTACAACTACTAGGTGAATAGGCAATGCATCTACATAGCCAGATAAACATCAGTTTAAGTAGAAGAACATTAGGTGCTTAAATCATAAACAGGAACATTTTTGAATTACCCTTAACTTTATATTGTTCGCGTCGTCTAGCATTCCTATCAGGACATTTCTGTTCGTAGGGACGTTTTTTTGTTTGTCCAGAATCCATCAATATTAAAATTTGTTGCTCCCAAATATCAGTTGGTACAAAAGTTCTAAAATTGTTAAACATTATAAAATTCATCATCAGGGAACAAATAACACTGCAAGTCTGCAACCATACTAAAACATAATTGTTACAGTTGGTATTCAAACCAATTAAACTTTACCAAAATAAAGATGCAAATCAGGAACTGAACAGTCACTTTGTGCAAAGTAAACTGAAATATTTCCATATCAAGAGCACACCAAAAAATCTAAGAAGCACAAATTATTAAAAACAATAGTAATTATATCAAACAACAGAAATACAAGCATGTTGACAGTTAGAGGAAGAGAAGAAAATATGGCTAACACAAATAAGCAGAAATAAAGAATGTAGTAGCGTTTATATGTTGCAAAGGTTCATATTCAATCAGCAGAAAGAACAAATCAACAATACTACAAGACATTTGCTATACTCCCTATTCCTATCAACCCGCTCAACAGTCAGAGCAAAGAAGAAGGAACTACCTATGTCAAATTGAAGAATAAAATAACATTGCTTTGTTCTTTCTCTGGTACATTAAATTTTTTTTCAAGCAACATTTATGATTAAGCATTCTTCACCCATGAGCTTTATCCGAACAAACATAAATTAATCAAAGAGAAAGAACAAAGCAACTAAAATTAAATATTTAAAATACTTAACTCAATGTCTTGTGTACTATTCACATAGAAGTTGATCACTTGTGAGGTACCTTTATCCAAACTAATAATTGCTGATGCTTTTGCAAAAACAGATCCACATTTTCAACACATTTACGCTTCTGCTGTTTTCTATACTTTAAAGTGGATATCAAATGTTTATTAATCCACAATTAAACTTCTGTGCTCAACTGTTCATCCATTTGAAGTTATTCTTCTTGTGGACATGGGAATAACAAAACATGTTCTCTCTCGCTTCATTGCTCTAAGCAATGATTTATAATAACACTGGTTTAAAGAATGATTTTCAATGTTGACTTCTTAGTTAAATTGTCGAGAAATCCGAGGACACTTCACCTTCAACTGAAATTACAGCGAGCGAGGATTGTTTGGAGAAAACATGTTACAGTAGATACTATCCTTGTGGCTTACTTTCACAAGGATCAGTAAAGTATGGAAGCGGAACCAGAGCAATCCTATTCACTGATTGTACATAACCAATAATAAACGAGATTATTAATAAACACCAACTACAACAGCTCTCAAAATAATTCATCCATTAGGATAAATTCTATACACCAAAAAAGAACATGAAATTAATAGGACAACTACACACATTTCAAACTTCAAGCTCAGAAACAAAAGAATAAAATTTTGGAAAAGGAAAAATAACTAAGCAAAAAATAAGCATTAATTAGCAAAATCAGATTAGTAACTATAAGCTACACACGTTTCCAACTTGTAACAATTACGTATATACCAATAATTAAAAGAAGGTATATATGAATAGAACATACTTTTATAGTAAGATCGGAGGGAAGAGCCCAAACGACGCCGTAATCGCGCGCGCGGGCAGATCGTTTGCCAGCTTCGACAAGTGCAGAATCAAGGAAGCTAGCCACTAGATTATCATCTACCCGGGTAAGTCCTACTCCTAAGCTTTCATGCAAGAGGTTATAAGTCCAAATATATTGTGGGGTTGGAAATAGGACATGCATGTGACACTAAGTTGTAGTATGTGGGATTAACGAACTAATTTGGGTAGTTTCTTGTTGAAATTGGTTGAGGGAAGAAGGGATTTCCATTATAGAACCTTGTAGTCCATGTCACATGTTAGGTGTTTGATAAAAGAGTTACACCATAGGAATCCTTCTAATTATTAACCGGTTTTTCTCTATCTTCCTAAAGATTATTTTTGCTAGAGGTGTTGATGCGTCGTAGTAACTTAAGGAAAACTCAACAAGGTATGTTGTCTAAAATTTCTCTCTCGGAATCGAATTCCTTAATGTTTCCATAAGTTTAAGTATGATCGGCTCAAAATCCCTAAATTCTACATTCCGGGTTATCCCCTATAAACTTATGAACAGTGAACATGGAGTTTTATTTTTGCGCCAATTTTTAATATTTAAAAACATTACCAAGCAAACGAAAGAAAAGGATAGTTGTCAGATTTAACTCCAAACTCCAAATCAGATACTATTTTGAATTCATTAAGCAGTGATCTTACATGGTTTATAAAGTTAACCTTAGTTGTATAACTTTTACCTCAGTTGCAAATGAGCATTCGCGTCTTTCTGTTTTTATAATTATGTCCACCACAAGTAACCAAAATAGAAAGCATTGATGCAAACTTAAATAATTCTGTAGCTGATTAGTAAATATGTTGGATTGATTTCAGACACGACGATAATATCTTTTGATTTTCAAAAATTAAGTTTGAACTGAATAAGTAAATGACCAAGCGTGATACAGGATTCCAAGTAACTTTAGGAAAATATTGAAATAACAAGATATAAGCAACTGGGAAAATAAGTAGATGATCAATTATATTTGATCAAATAAGATCTTATAAGAATTAATATTAAACTATGATGGTGAACTATTACTGACCTTGTTTCGGAGCTCGAGGTAAGTAAAGGTCCAGTTACAACCTTATCGCCTAACCGGGGGAAAAAAGAATCTAGTAAGCATATAAAAAATAAAACAAAGTGTACGTGAGTAGAAGGACAGAATAAAACAGAAAAATTATTCTATTTTAGGATAACAAGAAGACTTACAAGGACGCTCTTTGGATAATTTCGTCGTAAACAATATTGTATGTAGAATAGTCGATCATCACGGTTGGCTAGTGTGGACGGCCAGACCAGCACTTTGACGCAATTTGAACTCTTTGCACTCTATAAGACGACATAAAGTTGACCGTGGGAAAAACAAAGGTTCTCGCAAATATATTCCAACGAAATCCAGAGTCTGACCTTGCGCCTTATTTATAGTCATAGCGTAGCATCATCTTACTGGGAACTGTGTTCTTTTAAATTGAACTGGTAATCTTTCATCTTGCGACGATAATAATGGTATTCTTGGGATAAATACGTGTTTATTTTTAAAATCACCTGTCGCGATCTTAGCACTAATAACATGTGTCTCAATATCGCAGCATATCAATCATGTACCATTGCATAAACCTTCATACGGATTTAAGTTACGCAACAATATAATGGGACAGTTCTCCTTCAAAGTTATTTTATAAGGAGGTAAACCAGCAGGATTCAAAGTGTGTAATAGGTCTTCAAATTGACTTTGATCATTAGGTTCAACTATTTCGTCAATAGCAACAAATGTAGTTGGTTTTTCTGGAAATTTTGCTATTAGAATATCATTGATTTCATTCACAAAATCATTCTTTGTCGTTAGGATAACGTGAGAATCTGCCGAACAAGAATTAGAGGAGTATGCTTGTGCATTTGAGAATGTCATAGCGAATAAATGATGTAGAGATTCATCTTCAGTTGTAAAAGGAATAACTAAAGAATCTGGAAGTTCAATTTTGTTATTAGAGTTTACCCTTTCTTGCCCGTTTCCAATTCTCATGAAGTAATCACAAAAAGCAGGATCTATTTTTGCCCTCATATTCTCAGATAGTTGCAATTTTTCAAGCTCGTCCCAAATGGTAGAATATAGTAAACTTTCATTAATAAAATCTTCTTTTTTCCCGTTTCGAACAACTGGAAGAAATTGTCTAAAGTCACCTCCAAAAACAACGACTTTTCCCCCAAATAGCATATTTGTATCCATAAGATCTTTTAAGAGCAAGTCAAAAACATCAAGCATTCTTTTTTTAGCCATAGACACTTCATCCCATATAATTAATTTTGCATCACGAATCAGACATGCGGTTGAGCTTTGTTTGCTGATATTACAGCTGAAGTTTTCATCAATGTCTATAGGTATTTTAAAATGTGAATGTGCAGTTCGCCCACCTGGAATAATTGAAGCAACACCAGAAGTAGTAGTTGCTAGAGCTATATATCCTTTACTACGTACGGTCGCTAATAAGGCACGATATAAGAAAGTTTTTCCAGTTCCTCCGAACCATCAATAAAAAAAGCTCCTGGTTTCTTGGAAAATAGTCGGCCAATAATCACATTGTATGCTTGCAATTGTTTTGCGTTCAATTTTTTGTGTAACAGTATATCCTCTTCACTAACCGTGATGGTTCTTTCAAAGAATACCTCCTTTGCTTCTTTTTCCAATATAGATGCTCGAATTATTTCTGGGATAAGCTCATATTCGTTTACATTATAACCCATAGAGTGTAAAATATCATTAATCTGATCTAAAACTTGATATTGAATATCTTTCCTTTCAACATTATGTAACACTCTGAAATCTTCTGACATTGATTCTTCAAATTGTTTCCATATTTCATTTGGATTGACTGGATTACAATACACTAATAATGTAGCAAATAAACGTCTTAAAGGATTTTCGACAAGCTTGATGAAGATGGTGATGGATTAGTGAGTTTAGGTGAACTCAAAGGCCTACTTGATAAGATTGGAGCTTGTACGGATCTTGACGAGCTCCAATCTTTGGTAGGAAAAACGAGCCTAAACTTCATTAATTTCTCCCTCTTTTACGAGGCGATGGTGAAGAAAAATAATGGGGATGAAAAGAGAAAAGAGGACAATAATTTGGAAGATGATCTTGTTGAAGCATTCAAGGTGTTTGATGGAGATGGTTTTATTTGTTGTGAGGAGCTTCAAAAAGTGCTGACAAGATTAGGGTTATGGGATGAGAAAGAAGGAAGTGATTGTAAGAGCATGATTCATATGTATGATACTAACCTTGATGGAGTTCTTGATTATGAGGAATTCAAGAACATGATGTTGGTATCTAATTCTGACGGTATTCCTAGTTTGTAAATTATTGACTTTTCATTCATCTTTTTGAAACTTTCTACATTAATTAATTGTTGTGATATATGACTACTTGTATGGTGTTTAACTTCCTTCTTGTATTATTCCATAGTAAGACTTGTATATATTTGCGAAATACAAAAGTCTTGCAAGAAGTAGAATATTAAATACTTGAAATAAATTTGGTGTCTTACCAGTGGCGGAGGCAGGATCTCCACGAATGGGGTTCAAAAAATTTTTTTGTAGCTAGTGGGACTTGAGTTTAAGTGACCTTATGAAGGTTTTGAACCACCTTGACCACTAAACTACACTTTTAGGTTGTGTTGAGGGGGTTCAAAACTTAATATATAGAGATAAAAACTAGATTTTGCCTTATATATACAGTGTAATTTTTCGGCGAAGGGGGTTCGGGCGAACCCCCTTGCGCCCCCCTAAATCCGCCCCTGTGTCTTACATAAAAACATTTCAGCACTTGGAGCTCGTACTTTGGTCTAGACAAAAGGTGTTTCCACTACTAATTAAGAAGGGGATTTTGACACAGCTACCCAAAAAAACAAAACTATTTACCCTTGTCTACCCATTTGTTTTTCTACCCATAAACTAATTACATTTCTTACCCATATTAGTTTTTGTGGGGAATTTTTTCTTTATTCTCCAATTCTATTTTATTTCTATGCTTCTTTTCTCTTTTTTTTCTTTTCTCCTTTTCTTTTTTCTCGGTTTCTTCTTATTTTTTTATTTTTTCCTTTTCTAATTTCATTTAATTCTTTTTATATTCTTTTTCTCTTTACAGTCTAATTTCATTTACTGTTTTTACTATTTTTATTATTCTTTTTTTATAATATTACTAAAGAAAAATCAAATTATGTACCAATTAAATGTAGCTAATACGACAAAAAAATATTAACTAACGTATGATACCAGTATAGCATATAGCTATACATACAGGGTATACAATTGTACGCAAAGAGTTAAAAAAAAAATTTCTTGTTTTGAGTTTCAAAATAACCACAAACTCAACAAACCCAATTTATGAGTTTCAAAGCTTCAAGGTACTCCAATGGTATATTAATATTTTGAAGAAGTCAGATGTCACGACCCAAACCCCGCTCCGATCGTGATGGCGCCTCTCGTGAAGACAAGGCCAGCCAGACCATTTTAGAACACCACTTTTAAGCAGTTAAATAGTTCAAACATGATTTAATAATATTAATTAACAAAATTACAACCCAACACAGCCCAAATCGGGGTGTCACAAGTCACGAGCATCTAGAAGGATTTTAATACAACTAGAAGGCCTGTAATATATAGAATATAATTTAGAATCAAAAGGAAGCAATTCGGTGCCGCGAACGCTGGCAGTCACCTGACTCAGCTACGATAACAAAATCTCTAATCAGCTCAAAACCCGCTACCGGTGATCAAATACCTGCATCTGCACACGAGGTGCAGGGAGTAAAGTGAGTACTCCAACTCAGTGAGTAATAAGGGTAAATAACAACTGAGCAGTAAGAAATCACGTAAAGCAAGCCATCATGCTATATAGGAGCAGTGTAAACCCTTTGAGAAAATAGTGAATCTGTGAAATCTTTAGAAATATCTTGGCTCAGTTTAAAACCTCATTTGAAAATGTCTTTTTCCAACAGTTAAGCAAATGAATGCGAAACAAGTAGTGCAAGCAAGCACAAAAGTCAGCCCCTCGGGCACAACACTCCGTTAACAGATAACGCCAGGATATCAGGTAATTATTGCAAGAAGTAGCATAAAAGCCAATGAAATAAGAGTGCAGAAATATTATGACAGATAATACAAATAAGAACAAATGCATGAGTGCAATGCAATGCATATGACGGGTTTCGAGAAGTGGGCCCGGGGCTCGGGTTTTGCTAATTTTGGGATTTTTGATATTTTTCGATTGTTTTCGATTGGGTATTGTTTCCTTAGCCTATTGTGACGTATTCGTTGTGGTTTTGGTTAGTTTCGACGCGCGAGGAGGCCGATTTGAGAGGCAAGGGCATAGCGAGCTAGAGTTTTGGCCGGCTTGAGGTAAGTAATGATTGTAAATGCTGTTCTGAGGGTTTGAAACCCCGGATTACACATCGTTGTGTTACTTTGAGGTGACTTACACGCTAGATGACGAGCGTGGGGTAGAGCACCGCTGGGGATTGTGACCTAGTCCATCCCGAACGATTATTTTAATGCGCACTTGATAGTTAATTGTTTGATACTATTATATCTTGGGCTGTATGCCGTGTTTGGGGCCTTGTGCCGACTTGTTGAGACCCTTAGGGGCATTCGTACTATTTTTCCTCACTCTACTTGTTTGAAAGCATATCCTCAGTCATGTTTTACCTGTTTATTACTCAAATCTGGCCTTATCACTATATTAAATGTGGAAACTGTTTTGGGCTGAGTTCCCTGTTTTACTGATGGTCCGAGTGATCGTGAGATGATGACTGAGATAGACCGAGGGTCTGATTTTGAGATTGATTATTGAGATAGACTTAGNTCAATATATATATATATGTATGTATGTATGTATGTATGTATGTATATGGATCGGGCTGCACGCCGCAGCGATATAGCGCTTGGGCTGTAGGAGCCCCTCCGGAGTCTGCACATCCCCAGTGAGCGCAGTCGACTATATATGTGGATCGGGCTGCGCGCGGCAGCGATATATGGATCGAGTTGCACGCCGCAGCGGTTATTATATGGTACCTATTGAGCGTGAATGCTGAGTACGAGTTCTGATTGGTAAGAGTTAAGTCACGAGTGACAGAGAGGCTAGCCCGAGGGGCGATAGATATATACATGCATAGGAGTGAATGTTTGCCAGAGAGGCCTGTTTAAGAACTTATTGATTTCACCCCCCTTTAAAGTGAGTTTCTATCGAATATGTTGATTTATTGACTGTTTTCACTCATCTTTATATCGAGCCTCTGTCGGAAAGTTGAACAAATATTTTAAAAACAACCTTTATTTAAACTGGGGTTTATGAGATGTTCAGAAATTAATCACTGATTTGGCATCTAATTATTTCCACCGAGATTTTCAAGTTATGAAGTGGTTATGATTACTGTTTTGCCCGAGGGGCTGTTATACGAACTATGCTTTGCCCGAAGGGCCGATTATGGCTTTATGTGATATCAACATGTGATATCATAACATACTGAATGCGGAAGATAAACAAACACATGCTGACATACTGAAAGTCTGGATGTTATAAATCAAAGTGCGGAAATACTAATACAATTTCGAAACATATTTGCAGCCAACATAGCTTAACATGAAAAGCCTGAGACTCTGTCTAGTCGTTACTCTAGTCTATGAAGCCTCTAATAAAGTACTGAAAACACTGACTGCTTGTAAATACTGAAAGACCGTAAAGTAATGATGATGCCCCGAAAGAACTGGGGATCACCAAACAGCTGGTATGAGAATCCTAGCACTCTGAATCATCAACCTGTAAATCATTACCTGCATCGTGAGATGCAGCCCCGGGCAAAAGGGACGTCAGTACATTTGAATTGCACTGGTATGTAAAGCAGCTGAAAGAAAGAATTATAAATGTTGAAACTGAAACTAAGCTGGTAATTGAGAATTGATGATTGATAACTGAAATGATAACTATTGAAACTGCAACTAAAATGATAACTGGTAACTGATAACTTAACTGATAACTGATAACTAGACTGATAACTGATAACTGATAACTGATAACTGGACTGATAACTGATAACTTAATTAATAACCGGTAACTGATATGATAACTGATAACTGAAATGGTAACTAATAATTGAACTAAAAGGAAGCAAGGATATGAATACTCCCTCTTCTGAATGATGAACAACCTGTTTATCTGAATAAATAAACTGCAGCCTCAGGCCCAATATATATATGTGCACAAACTGCGGCCTCGGGCCCAAGTATACATATACATAACTGCGGCCTCAGGTTCAAAATGCATAAAGCATAAACTGCAGCTTCAGGCCCAAAGATGCATAAAGCATAAACTGCGGCCTCAGGCCCAAAGATGCATAAAGCATAAACTGCGGCCTCAGGCCCAAATACAGGTGTTCAACATTCAGGAACTGAGAATCATACTGCACTGCAATACATGATAGTGAAATACTGCATTGCACTGAGTTGCATGATACTGGAATACTGGATCACACTGAGTTACATAATACTGGAATACTGAATAGGACTAGACTGAGACATGTATTCTTGAACTGATTATGAACACTGAAACTTCAACTACTTATGGCATACTGAGTAATCTATACTAAGACTCGGGGGCATCAAACCCAATTCTATATTGAATACGCACTGAGCTCACAACGTTCAAAACGAAAGTGGTGAACGAGTTATGAAGCTAGAGAATAGAAGTTCTACAATTATTCAAGGAACTAGGCTTAACTATATTTCCGAGGCAATTGGTAACGTCGTAAAAGAAACCTAGTGTAGGGAGAATCATTAAAATTCCCAAACATAGAGAGTTAGCCTCACATACCTTAACTTCATGCTCTTGAGCGTAATACAACGTTTGTCAACCCTTTCAACTTTAATCTATAGCAATACAAGTCAAAGGGATTCTATATTAGCTATGATACTCATGTTTTAGTCGCTTTAGCATTTTCTCAAACACTTGGTGACATAAAGCTTCATAGTCCTTATTAATGGTGTCTCTACACCCAATAACCCATTCTCTTGTTCCTAGATAAATTCTAAAGTCTCAAATTGTTATAATCAACATTATTCTTTATCACCCATAAAGTAAACAACACCCTTAACCAACAATCAACAATCAACACCCCAAACCTATAATCGTTCATGATTTTCTCTCAAATCCATCAACTCATATCTCATGAACTAGGTTTATAACCATTAAACCAATGCTAGAATCAATTAGAGGGTGAAGACATTACCTTTTTGAAGTTCAAACCCTTTGAATTCAAGTTCTAGGCTTCCTTCTCTCAACAGTGATGTCCCACTCGAATATCTAA